GTGGGTGTGCTGGAACAGCTGCAGGAGTCGTCGACGGCACCGGGGCCCTCTCGGTATCACCAAAGGTCAACCCTGGTTGGAAAACATACTACCTTTGCGTCAGATTGGTCGTTGAAAAACGGCCACTGAGACGTACGCAATTATCCTCTGCCCTCGCGGCCCTCATCTCGCATATAGTCACCTTCTTGCACGCGGCGTCGCATGGTTCGACATGCGCTCCGCGCGTCATGAACTCGTTGTACCGCTGGAACGCCGTCTCGTTCTTCTCGAAGGCCTCGGTCACTCCGTGCCAGAACCGCGCGTCCAAAGGGGCCGTTGGTGCCAGATCCACGAGCGGGCCGTACTCCTCGCGCGCGCTGTAATAAAGTTTCCATTCAGCTACAAAGGAGACACGTCACGGTTGGACGATGTGATCGATGGTACGGTATACGAACGTTTCGTTTGGTACTCTGGATTCTTCATATCGCCTGCAAAGATAATTTCAGCAGTCACCTCGAAGAACTTTTCCCCACTTACTATAGTAGACTTTAGAGTCCATGATTTCGTACGTGTCAGGGTCGACATCATAAACTTTGAGTGCAGGGTTCCCGCCTGCCCAGATTAATGTCAAAATTCTTCATGTACACGCGCGATTCATTTGCTTACTTCTGGGTGTTAAAGCGGGCGCGATCCATGCGACGCTCACAGCAGTATCGGCTTGGCGGTTCTCGTAGTCCGAGTACGCAATTTCGAATTGATCCTACAGAAATTGAACTCACGTAGCAAGCAAGTTGAAATTGAAACACCTACATAATGCGTATGGCCGAAGAATTGTCCGGCGATGATATTGTAATAACGCTGCAAGACTTGATTGTAATAATTTGACTGGGACCGAGTAACCAGTCAATTGAACCATACATACTGCGGAGGAAGATGACGGACCTGATCACTGAAAACATCTTGCGACCCGGGCGGCATGTGGCCGATTATCCAGACCCGCTGCCCGGCATCTTCGGCTGCTTGAAGCTCGTGTACCATGAATTCCAGGATGCTGCGAGGATCAGGTCTAAACGAACGTCAGGTAAGAAACAGGCAAGATTAACGCGGAGCCGATTCGTTAATCTCACACTGGAGTGTCGGAATCGTACAGCCAGAAGCTTCAATTAAAAGCATGAGCATAAGGTCGCAAAGAGTCGGGTATACCTCACTTTTGCTTGTACCAGTAGACGGTGTTGATGGAAATAATTCGCAGGTTGGTACCAGGCGCGGTGACCGAATAACTTCCGGAAAAGTGCCTCACTTCATTTGCAGCTGTGTCGTTGGTCCAATGCTGCAGAAAACCGCAAATGAGTTGATTCATCGAGGATAAGGCGCTGACAATTTGAACCAACCGCCCATTCCTTGCCCTCCAAATCGAAAACCCACTGTGCGCCGTCGAACCCGATCGTGGCATCCAGAGGGAAATTATTGACAGGTGCCGAGTCGCTAGATAGGATGGTAAAATTCAAGGTCGGCATGGGTGCACGACAAACTCACTGGTTTCCTGGACCAAAGCGCATTATTATGCTGAGTGACCTAGAACGTTGAAATCATACCGATTGCAGGGAACACCGGGCCATTTAGCGTTACCCCAAGCTCACGATTGAACACTTCGAGATCACTAGTTACTTCGCTGTACCTGCGTCAACAAAAGAACGGAACAATATGAAGTACGAAAGAATCACCTTTTGTTGACAGCCCAAACGGCAGCTATTGAAGAGTGGTAAGCCATCGACAAGCAAGAAACAAAGATATGAATGCACCTTCTACAACATCACCGGTGAAAATGCTCCATGTGTGCTGGGCCGAGATTACTTCAAGCATCGACTTAGCCAAAACCCCTGTAATTTCATGAGTTCCCTAGCTTGCGGGAGTTCAAAATGACCAACAAGGGCTATCGCAGTTCGGGTTACCAAATGGCCCCGCTGGCTTCTTTGGCGGTTTCGCTTCATCTGCAAAGTCGCGACAGCAGATCGGCTTCTTGCAGTCTGCATCCGAACCCGCCTCAACTCCGTCTTAGGGATTATCCCAGTAGCGAAGGGAGATGGATTGCACTCACGACGTACTGGCGATCGATATGGACGTCGCTGAAATGCACGACCTGAAATGGCTGCTTTCCGGTCGACACCGGAGGCTTTGGAGACGCCGGTCCCGCCGCGGGAAGCGGAACCGTGTATGGCGTAACGGGAGGCGGTTGGCACAGACCGAAGGTGCCTTCGCAGAGCTTTCTCGCTGTCGTTCCAATAGGTGATATTCCCCGCAGGGCATGACTGAGAATTGGCCCTTGTTCGCTTATAGAACCGACGCAGACATCTTCATCTTCCAGCTTTCGGACGCCGCCTCTGAGTTCCCGATGTACAGCCATGTTGGGGGTGCCTTACCTTCAAAGCTTTACACGTCGCAATGAGGGTGTTCACGAACGTCGAATCCCCGAGCTCCGCCAATCCCTTCAATGGCACCAACAACGCTTGACAAGAATCACAGTCCACCGCCTGTTTCAAGCCATTGATAATGTCGTCCGGGTGGGGGATCTTGAGGGCAAATGCAACTGGGAGGAGAATCCAAGGGAGGAACAGATGCATGGATGAGAGAGAGCAGTGGGCGGCGGTTTTTGCGTTCCGAAAGAGTCCCAACTGTCAACTATGTATATGTGTCAAGATTTATTTATATCCCTAGCGCCAATGATCCGGACAGCCCGGGTTCGGTAAGGCTCCATCAGTGGCGGAAGCGGGGTTCCCAGAGGCAAACATCGTCCAGACTTTGCAACCTAAATGCAGAATGGTGGACCATTCGGTTAAGTATCCTGGAAGTGCTTCGGCAAAGATTAAGAGCAGGGAAATTCACCCCATTACCGAACGACCCCGTCCACCGGCCACGGCGCCTCTACTAATATCTCCGGCGCCACTATTCTAACGAAATCTCCTGCACAGCCGCTTTCTTTGGAGTTACATCTAAAGTTGAACATGGATTCCCACGGTTGAACCAAATTTGAAACCTTAATTTACATAATCAGAAAATCGACGTTAGTTGCTTCCAGCCCTTTTTCTGCTCCGTCCATTCTATTATGCCAATAAGTACCTGGCCGTTTTAGGGGTGAAGCTCAGCTGGCGGACCCAGCATTTCTTTTAAACAAAATGCTCCGGTCATTGGACGGTAAGTATCCCCATAAACATTCAGTTGACGCGTAAGTATCCCATGGTCGCCTTCAAATCCCCGTCGGACGGATGTATGTATTGTTCGCGGTATGTTTCATTCACTAACTAATTCACTTGGAGAATTTAATTTACATGAAATGTCAAACATCGGCGACAGCTTTGGAGCCACCAGCCGAATTTCTCAGAAAAAGTACAGGTTTCAGCATCCATCCTTGTTCTCCAAGTTTAACTAGTCCAATCATATCCCAGCAGCAAACCTGATTCCTATACAAGACCCCCACATTTATGTGATGATCTCTGAATCGGAAACTTTCTGTGATCGATTTCTCAATAAAAATAGCATAAATATTGAGACCCGTAGGTCTACCACTCCGGAAAAGTGTGTCATCCTTGTGCAGGGGCCATGCTATATCAAATATGTTATGGTAGTCATTTTAGAACAACTTCATTGGAGGACTTCCGACAATTTGAAGTATATGAACCGCCACCTGTGAGATCAAGTTGCTGTTATTGTCAAGCAAAACAATGGTTGGATGGTGCAGTGGATAATGGTGTCTCTCCGTACTTGACAGTGCACTGGGTTCAATCCCCATTGTTGCATTTTGCCCTTTCTTGGATTCCCTGGGGCAAACTGCGGCAAAGGTTGCACCGGCGCTGGCGCAACCGTGGGAACAAATGTGTCTGTCATCCGGGAAATCCCATGTTCGGAATCCGAACATGAAATATTTTCAATTATTCGGCTAAATGGGCTGTAATTCAATTGGTTAGGTTCGTCTAGCAGGGATGCCCAGCAGGTGCTTGTTACTATTAGATACAAAATCTGCAATACAAGCAAGTAGTCTTAGTAGAAGAGAAGCCGTACGTGTTGCACTAAAATGTGCACAAAAACTCAGATTGGGTCCTAGTGTAAGCCTGCCAGCTTACGACAGCGTCCCAAGCTCCATATATAGGCACGGAATTGATGATATATATCTCATCAATTATCTCCCTTTTGGTGTAGTGGTTTATAACGTGCCTTGAACCAGCTTACATTAATTGATGAGATAATGTTGGCAGAGGTCACAAGTTCAAACCCAGCCAGTGACACCATTCAAAAAAATGGATACAGGTCACTGGGTACAGTGGGCTACTGAATCATGTGACCTTAGAAGCCAACATCAAGGATCACAACCTTGGGGGTGATTTATATGACCTGGAACCACTGGAGAAACCCATACAGTCCTGTTAGCGTTGGGAGCACAGGAAGGGAGACAGTTCTTCAGAGAGGGGAAGGGTGTAAGCCTGCCAGCTTACGACAGCGTCCCAAGCTCCATATATAGGCACGGAATTGATGATATATATCTCATCAATTATCTCCCTTTTGGTGTAGTGGTTTATAACGTGCCTTGAACCAGCTTACACCTAGTTCCCGTCCGCAGGGTTCACCCCTCGGCCCACCACTCCGAAAAGCATGCCATCCTTACACAGGGTCCTGCTTCACTTCTCTGTATCGTTCCAATTTTTCGTATGACACCCCGAAGGGGTCAAGAGGAGAGGTGGATTTCTGGTACTGATTACCCAAATGATGTACAACATATGTGTGACTGACCTCTTAGGTATCATCACGTGTTCTAATCACGCCGCGGGTGGTTCAACTGTTGAAGTTGAACGTTCAACGTTGGGAATCACCCACTCGGTCTTCCATGTTCTCTGATTATTCCAAGGTGAGTTGAACTGCAATTTGAGCGACGACTCGGTGTTCGGGAATACAGCCTGGTGTCGACTGAGGCTTCTGGGGGATCCACTTTGCGTATTGACAAAAAGGAAGAGAGGCATCATTTCGCTGTAGTGTCCTTGGTGTAGAGGCAACACATGTCCCTGTTGTCGTCGATTGCAAGCAGTTCGAATGTCTCACATACGGGCAAGTCCGGGGTTTGGAACCCCGAGGACACAGGGCGCTTCCTTAACAATATTTTTTGGGCGCAGAATTTACACAAAATACAGGGCATGAGGCCTATGGTGCCGGTCACCTAGCTGCCGCCACCAAAATTTAGTGGCCAAATTGGCCGGAGAAAAATTTGGCCCTAGACACAGCCACAATCAACCACTTTTTTCATTATTTCTCCCGCAAGTGGCCAATTTTAGCACGACCTTCATTTTTTGCTCACTCAGTTTTGACATAAATGGAAATCTGTCTTGCAGTTTTGTAGAGGACATGAAAAGAAACACTTTTGCAAGAGGGATAAGAAAACGAGGTAAACCTCGGGCCGGGAAATGATGCGGAATCTCACGCACCAAGTAGCGGCAGCTAGGTGACCGGCACCATAGGATAGTACCCACTCCTTGTTTTCTTCCCCTCATTAGTTGACCAATTGCCTAACACTGAGTAGTGAGCGCACGCTCAGAACCATCCCAATATCATCAAAAACTATTTATTGGATTGAGTCGTTAGATTTGTGGGTAAGTAAGTACTACGATGTGCGTGTTGATACAAATGCAATCTTCCTTCCCTGGTACCACCCTCCGAATTCTCTTCTCTAATTTCCCCTCCCAGACCCATTCAAACCACCAACCCCAGACCCCCTTCAAACCACCAAATTCAAAGACACCGGCACATGCGGCCGCCAGCTCGCAGCATCCATAAACTTGTTCGTCGGCCCATGGCCACTCCGGCGCGGATTGAGGGCCGTGCGCTCCGCGGCGCGTCCGACGGGGCGTCTCCTTTGTGCGGGGGTTACCGCCACATTGGCATTCGTCTTCGCCGTTGCAGCACTTGCGTTGGCGTTGACGTTCGCGACCCGCTGCACCGTAACACCCACGCCCGCATACTCCCGCGCGCGCCGCTGCCTCCTATTCAGCGCGATCTCCGCAAACTCTTCTTGCCCGTGCATGCGCAGCGCCGCGTGTGTGGCCGCCACCTCGCTCTTCACGAGTGGCGAGTGCGCGAGCTGGAGCAGCTCGGAGGGAGTGTAGATCGGGACTGCGGGGCGCAAGTCAATACGGGTACAGTGAAAGAGGGAAGAGGGAAAAACGTACGAGTACGGTGAGGGCTGGACTCAGACGCAGTATACGCAGATGAACTTGCAGACGCAGATGGGACGCGTTTATGCACGGGGACGTATACACCCGCTGAACTCGAACTCGAACTTGGACTTGAGCTCGACGATGATGCCACCGACTCCAACTTGGAAGACGACACGGGAACACCGGTGGCAATGTTAATCGGCATCGAGGGCGACATCAGGATTCAGGATTCAGGAGAGGGTTGCAATTGAAGGGTGAGCAAGAGAGGAGTGGCGGGGGGCGGGTAGTCCCTTGCATTATCACAGCACCTTATTTATACCGCGACATTACAATAGTCATTGTCAAGCTGCGCAAAGGCTCAAAGCCGCAGAAATCGTCAAATGCGGGCATCGGACTCGGGCGTAATCGGGTCGCGTCTCGAACATTCGGGCACAGTCAGCGATACGTGTCAGCTCGTCAATGAGTCGTCATCGCTTGGTCACTGCTTTGCAAGTGCTTTGAGTTTTTTAAGTACTTCGAATTCGCTTGCTCAGCGCAAGTACTCTGCATCTCGCAAATGGTATGTTACAAAGGTACAAATCTAAATATGTGTATGTGCGGGAGCTAGTAGTAATAGTATAGGACGTGTGTCTGTATCTGTCCGTCCGTGCCAAATCGTAGTACAAACAGCGCGCGGAATTAGGAATAGGGAATAGATAAATTACCCGTAGATTTTGGTGTCGGCACTGCACTTACTTCCTTCTTTCCTTCTCTTCCCTGGACCACTCTACTCAAACAACCGCATATACCTCGGAATACACGACTGCTGCCGGAAATCTGTACTTCATCAGCTCACATCCAAAGAATAGGTACAGCAGGGGAGAAAGGGTACAGCGGGAAAGCAAAACTCACCAATCGTCTCCCCCTTATTACAACTACACCTATTCTTCGCCCACTCGTCCCCCTGCGGACAGTGCTCAAACGGCTGGTGCCGGTACCCCACGTCCTGGAAGAAATGCAGCTTCGTCTTGGGCGCGAATAGGGCGGCGGCGATGGAGTGCACGGGCGCGTCGCCCCAGCGCTCGTAGTAGAACCCGCCCTTGTGCTCGAGGAAGGAGAAGAAGGCTTGGTAGGCGGGGCCGCGCCAGAAGTCCATGTCGGCGATTTCAAAGTTGGACCAGACTGGAGGCGTGCATGTGTGAGCGAGGGACGAGCAAAGTGGGCGAGTGGGTGGAGGGAAAAGGAGGGAGGAAGGAGGAAGTAAGTGGACGACACGCACAATGACATAGGTTATACGTCTCCCCGCCGTCGTCTGATAGGTACGACATCGCGTTGTTGTCCGCGATGTGCTCCGGGTGCTTGGCCATGAATTCTGCGGTTCACATGCAACATTAGTTCGTGGATATTTCTTTGGGAGAGAGCGACATGGCGGCACCCAAAACAGAAGAGCCAGGAGAAAAGGAAGAGGACGCCGCACCTTTCACGTTCTTCCATAACGTCGGGATGGTTGGCTCCCATTCGTAAAACGATATCGTGAATCCTAGTGCAAAAAATAACGCATCAGTATGCAAGATAACTCAGAAGTATGGGCGAGCGAGCAGCCAGAATGGGAGCTGGGCCAAGTACGATGAGACGGAACGGAACGCACCGTATATCTTATCATTCTCTTGCATGAAGTGGAACGGGTCGTACGGTATGTCGCAGAAGTACTGGATATCGGGCCTGTGCGCTTGGCATTAACTCACGAGTCGGGAAGTCGTAGGGTGAAAGAGGTGGAGAGTAGGAAGGACATACTCGACGCGCCAATAATACCGGTACGGCTGGAGGAGCTCGTGTTTGAAGAAGAACTGTGCAAATGCAGAGTCAACGTCGATGTACCTATACTACATAGTTTCAGAGGAACGTACGCCGGAATTGAATCTGCACATGTTGCGATACCTGGGTGGGGCGAATAAGTAAGCTCACGACGTGTCCGACGAGAGAGGGAAAGCACGCACGGAACGCTCCCCGCATATATAATATCCTGCGCGACCATCTTCTCGCGCCCCGCACGCGCGATGTCCTCGTCAATCCAGTCCGGCTGGACCCAGTGCTCCTTCGGCACCAGCCCAAAAGACACGGAGCCGTTCGTGAGCTTCATCATCTCCCTGTACAAGCCGCACATGCACGCATAAGCATCATCATTGCATCATCCGCATGGCGGGGGTGCGCATACATACCGCCGAAAGTTCTCCGTAAACGGCTCCTCGTTGAGGAATACGAATGGGTAGTTGCAGTGGTTGTTGAACTTGTCCTGTATTTGCGAAACGCTGGAGATGGCGCCGGCGAGGTCGCTGTTGCGTGCGAGCATTAAGAGTGTGGCGTTTACGAGCGGGCGGCCGAAGCATGCTGGGGGTGGGGGCGCAGATGGGATACGGTCGCGCGCAGGCGTGGAGAAATGGGGGCGGCCGTCGCGTAAAGCGATTTCTAGGAAATAGAATAATGATATCTGCGTCATAATTGAAGTGAATACACGGCTGGTGAATTCGGGACGTACGAGCACGACGAGGGCGACGACATAGCGGCGGCGTGCAACCTGCGCTCCCAGAATCATTGTGGTGGAATAAGAGCAGTGAACACAGCACTCACGGCAGTTACGAACTTGCTCCAAAATACCATGATCCAGATCCATCATCTAGTGCTGCGGATGCGCGCTCATTTCTCCAGGCCGGACATGGTTCACCGGGCTGGGTAGCCAATCGTCGCTCGTATCATGGACCCTGTCGTAATCCAGGCCGAGCGCCTTTCCTCTTGGGACATGCTAGCCTTCCACGGCGTTGCCGCGTTTCTCAACGTGCGTGCGGCGTTCTAAATATAGACTCAGTGTTCGCCGGGTTTTTCTCCTTCTAACTTAGGATCGCTCTTGGGACCCTGAACTCGAATTATTCTCTGAATCCTCGTTCATCGTCCTGGAGGGCGGTCTGCCAGTGGCGTTCTCGGTTCACTCAAGGACCAACCTCAAGTCGATAGACTGCGTGGAGCGGCCTACTATTCTTGCTACAGATCATCGACTTTGTCGCAACTCTTCTTCGTCTGGGCTTCCTTTGCTCCCGCATCGCTGCCGCTGCCGTTCAAAATTAAAACCGGTCGTCTGGGCCCGTTTCTAAACTTGAAGCTACTTATGGTGGCCGCCCGAGAATCTGATAGTACAACCACCAAGGTCCGAATCAAGTCCAAATAGAATCGCTCAACTTGCGTCGGCAACTTGAAGTGCCAACCAGTACTTGTTGGGGCTGGGCATATATTTTATTTTCCCCGCAACTGTAGTCGTGCTACCAGCCGGTACCGACGCGCGACGTCGGACGCTTCGTCTTGTCAATGCTAGGCCACCACCGTACCTGATTTTCAAGTCAGCCGAGAGACTACGGCGTACAATCGATATTGCAGCAATCAATGCTGTCGTGTCTTACCCAGGGTCAAGAGGGTTTCATCCCGGCGCGTCGTTCATAGCTGTCATAACTTTGGCTGACACTCAGGCCCATCCTTCAGATATAGCCTCTGATACAAGTTTACAACAATCAGCTGCAAGTGCAAAGAAACTTATCGTATCTAGACCCCCGCTCTGGCTGAAGATCCGTTGACAAGCCGCAAGCCAGATAAGTTAATTCAGTAACTCGGTGTGTTTTTAGTGTGTTTTTTGGATTCTGACCACATTGACGTAGTGTTTCAAGTGCCGTTGAACATCTGCATCAGTCAACATTCTGGGACTGTTTTCAGCACAAACGCATATGACCCATTTCTGTCGCAGGCGAGATCCTGGCGCCGTATCAGTCCCGGTCCGATTGATTGAAGTACTCGGGTCTCCCTCATGAGAGTCGAGTCTATAAATTATAGATTCGCACGGCAGAGCTTTCGATTCAACGACGTGGAGGATTCAAACTCTGCACCCTCTGAAATTCGGAATTGGCACT